ATTTTTATTTCTACTGATAGTTTTTGGCTATATTTTTATTCAGTTATTCAACTTTTGTTATTGATTTATAGGAGCTCTTTATATATTAAGACTCCGAGTTGTCTGTTTTTTTAAGAAATCTTTTCTTCCATTGTGTTTCTTATTGTTTAACTCTGATACATGTTTTATTTTTCAGAGTTTTAAACATTTTAATATGGATTTGCTTATCATTTATTTTGTAACTCTTGAGTTTGGGCCTTATTTGGGAAAGTTTTTTCTTACCCCCAAATTATAAAAATACATTTCAGAATTTTCCTGTATGTTTTTATGGTTGGAGTTTTTCTGTACAATCTGCTATCCCTGCTGGCTTTTATCTGCCTGAGCTGACTGTTTCCTCCTATGTCCTGGCAGATGAGGAGGGGCCTGAGGGCCTGACCCAGTTCCTGATGACAGAAGTACGGCGGTTGCGGGAAGCTCGAAAGAGCCAGCTGCAGCGGGAGCAGCAACTGCAGGCCCGGGGCCGGGTGCTAGAGGAGGAGCGGGCAGGGCTGGAGCAGCGGTTGCGGGACCAGCAGCAGGCACAGGAACGCTGCCAGCGGCTGAGGGAGGACTGGGAAGCAGGCAGCCTGGAGCTGCTGCGGCTCAAGGATGAGAACTACATGATCGCCATGCGCCTGGCACAGCTTAGCGAGGAAAAGAACTCGGCTGTGCTGCGCAGCCGTGACCTGCAGCTGGCGGTAGGCCCCTGTTGGAGATGAGCAGGGTAGTGTGGGGAAGGGGCAACTTGGGTGAAAAAATGATGGTAATATGGTGGCCAAGTCATGTCCCAGAGTAATCACCTGCTGGCTCTGTGACTGTGAATATGTCCTCGCACCTGCCTTTTATACCTACTTCATTTGGTATGGTTGAGGTTCTCAACTAGGGGCAATTTTGCCCTCCCTAGAAACTCTAGCCATGCTTGGGGAGGTTTTTGCTGTCACGACTAGGGGTTGTTATTGGCATCTAGTGGGTAAAGCCAGGGATGCTGCTGAACATTCTGTAGCACACAGCATAGCCTGCACAGCTACATTATCTAGCCCACAATGCCAATAGTGCTAAGGCTGAGAAACCTTGGGTTAGGAGGATTCAGTGAATTAAGAGAGTTTCAGACATGTATGGTGCCTGGCATAGTGTCAGTGCTAAAAACTTGTGTCATCAGTAATCATTACTGTTATATTATCATCAACTGTTGTTGGTATGCCATGAAGCTTACATGCATCATGTCTTCTAATCCTCACCAAAGCACTGTGGACCAGACTCTGTGTCTCACTTTGTCACCCTCGGTAGAGTGCCGTGATGTCATAGCTCACAGCAACCTCAAACTCTTGAGCTCAAGTGATTTTCTTGCCTCAGCCTCCCGAGTAGCTGGGACTATGGTGCCCACCACAACGCTTGGCTAGTTTTCGAGACCAGCCTGCTCTGACTCAGGCTGGTTTTGAATTCCTGAGTTCAAGCACTATCTGCCTTGGCCTCCCAGAGCGCTAGGATTATAGGCATGAGTCACTACACCGGGCCTTGGACCAGGTTTTTGTTTACAAATATAGACACCGTGGCTCAGATCAGTGAAGGGACTTGCTCAAGGTCATAAAGCCAGAAAGCAGCACAGGCTGGATTTGAACTGGGCTGCCTGGCCCAGCATTGGCCGCCTCCCCATGCTGTTTTCCATCTGCTCCCCGTCCAGTGAAGTCTCGCCTAATCCCCTCCAGCAGCAAGTGAGATTGCCCTCTTTCTTATAGGCCAGGAAACCCAGCCTTAGGCCAGGAAACCAAGTTCCTGGTTTCTGATTAGGACTCAGCATGGGGGTAATACTGCTGTTTGACGGTTATAGGGAGTTGTCCTGAGGATTTAATGAGCTGATCCATATCAAGAGCTTAATAGTTGCCAGCAGCACTCAGGAGCCTCTCTCCAGGGATACTGTGTAAGGTTCCAGGATTCTGACTGCGGGGTGTGAATGCCCCTATCCTATGAGCCTTGGGCTGTAGCTACAGTCTTTTAAGCAGTGGCAGGTGCCCTTGGATGGTAGTTGGCATGTAAGGCTGTAGGTCTGGGTGCACCAGTGTGCCAGAGCTGGGTTCGTGCACGCCAGGTTGGTCGATGTCTTGGAGAGGTGACTCCTGATCAGGGGTGTTCAGGCCACCAGTTGAAGGGTTCAGGCTGCTGGTCCTGCTTGAGAGTGCAGGTGGCTGGATTGAGGTTGTAAGGGGACCATGAGACTGTCTTCCAAGAGCCTGCTTGGTGTTCGGCATGAGGTGGAAGCTTTCTGTCGGGCAATCCCAGAACTGTAGGACCCAGGCTTGCTCTGCTGCTGTTGAACTGTTTGGCATGGGTAAGACTTCCCTGACACCAGTCAGTCTTAAGTACTTGCCCTGCACAGACTCTGAATTGTCCAGCACCCCTGAGGGCATTGCAGTCTTCCCCAGTTCTAGAGGAGAAACTGAGGCACAGAGAGGTTGGTTAGATCATTTCCCCAACATCAACAGGATTAATCCTTTACTCTCAGCCCTGCTGAGGGGTGGTAGGGAGGGTGGGTCTGTTTTTACCTACAGAGGTTCCTCTTTTTCTGAAATAGACATGGGGCTTGCTGTGAGGTTTTCTCATAAGAACCCACTACTCAGAGAGGACAGCGTGAGGGCCACCACCTGAGGTGCTGCTGAACATTCTGTAGCACACAGCATAGCCTGCACAGCTACATTATCTAGCCCACAATGCCAATAGTGCTAAGGCTGAGAAACCTTGGGTTAGGAGGATTCAGTGAATTAAGAGAGTTTCAGACATGTATGGTGCCTGGCATAGTGTCAGTGCTAAAAACTTGTGTCATCAGTAATCATTACTGTTATATTATCATCAACTGTTGTTGGTATGCCATGAAGCTTACATGCATCATGTCTTCTAATCCTCACCAAAGCACTGTGGACCAGACTCTGTGTCTCACTTTGTCACCCTCGGTAGAGTGCTGTGATGTCATAGCTCACAGCAACCTCAAACTCTTGAGCTCAAGTGATTTTCTTGCCTCAGCCTCCCGAGTAGCTGGGACTACAGGCACCTGCCAGAACACCTGGCTATTAAGTAGAGGTGCTTGTGTATCTGCAGGTTCACTTAGAATGACCTCCTAGAGGTAAGATAATCTGTCACTTGGCAGATAGTGGCTGCTTTTTCCTGGTTAGGGGCTAGAGGCTAAAGGTGGAATTAAATTAAGAGAAGAGATTTTCTTTAAACTTAGCTATGGTAAATGTACCATAATTTTTTAGAGCTTTTCTCCTATAAAATTAACAAAGGCTTTACAGACAGATCTTAGCAGAACAGCCAATCATGTCTGGCTTGGCAGCTTGCATTCCCTTCCTCTCATGGACAGGTGTGTGGTGGCTGTGATTTAATACCGTGTTTTATAAGGTATAGATTTAATGAGCTGTTATTTCTAAGCAACATAAACTTACGGAACGAATGCTATAATTTTGTGCTAAGTGAGTTTGTACACCAGGATTAAATGCATCCGTCTTTCCTGGTGCTCGGCAGAGACTCCCAGGTGCCTTGTCCTCTGAGCTCATCAGGGAAGCCAGCTGGCTGCGGGTCAGGCAGGAGGCCATGGTGTGTGGCTGTGGTTTGCTGGAGAGGGTGTGGCCACGTTTGCCCTTGTAGCAAGTCTTTCTCTGGAGGTTCACAAAGCATGTTTTGTGAGTGGAAAGGAATGCGGGAGTCATGAATTTCTTTCAGTCTTTTGCAGAGGAGGAGCAGACTGTTAATTTGTGCCTGATCCAGCCTCCAGTCTGTGTGTGTGTAGTGCGTGTGTGTCCATGTGGAGAGGGGAATTCTAGGCTCTGAGAGCTGGGGGACTAGCAAGTCATTTTCCAAGGGAGGCTGGAGCACTGCTAGACACCAGACATTGCATGCCTGAGCATAGCACGAGAGGTCTTTGTGACCTTTTCCCAACAATGACTTCATTTTATGGCCTGCCACCTGCTGCTACTCTTGTCACCATCCAGCCACCTCAGACCCCACTTGCATTTGGGAAATAACCCTGGCTAAATGCAGTTGCAATGTAGCAAATTAGCTGTGTATGTTGCTCGCGGCCTGGCGACCATCCCATAACTGCCCATCCAGTACATCTGGCCAGCCTCTGGCTGCACACACCGAACTGGGGACCCATTAGGATTTTATTTAAAGCTGTGAAGACCACCACAGTCATACCTGTGGGAGCGCCGAATCCTGCTCTTTACAGTTTAAAAGCCTCTGTCCACTCTCTGTCTTGTTTATTTCTTACAAGTGGTAGGGTGAGGAGATTGTTTTGGACTGTTTTTCTGATGAGGAAACTGAGGTTCAGAGGAAGTAAGCCACTTCCTCAAGATGACAGAACCCGATAAAGTGGTAAAATTGAAGCCTAAACCCCGAACTTGGAGCTCGAGTTGGGAATGAATGGTCTAATCTTTTGGAGTAGAGGCTCCATTAGGAATTTCTTTTTTCTTTTTCTTTTTTTTTTTTAGAGACAGAGTCTCACTTTATTGCCCCCGGTAGAGTGCCGTAGTATCACAGCTTACTGCAACCTCCAAATCCTGGGCTTAGGTGATTCTCTTGCCTCAGCCTCCCGAGTAGCTGGGACTACAGGCACCTGCCAGAACACCTGGCTATTTTTTGTTGCAGTTTGGCCGAGGCCAGGTTCAAACCCGGCACTCTCAATATATGGGGCTGGCACCCTACCCACTGAGCCACAGATGCCGCCCTCTTTTTTCTTTTCTTTTCTTCCTTTTTTTTTTTTTTGAGACAGGATCTCAAAAGCTGTTGCCCTGGGTAGAGTGCTGTGGCATCACAGCTCATAGCAACCTCAAGCTCTTGGGCTTAAGCGATTCTCTTGCCTCAGCCTCCCAAGTAGCTGGGACCATAGTTGCCTGCCACAACACCCGGCTATGCTTTTGTTGCAGTTGTTATTGTTGTTTTAGCTGGCCCAGGCTGGGTTTGAACCCGCCATCCTTGGTGTATGTGGCCGGTGCCCTACCCACTGAGCTACGGGCACCACCTGTTAGGAATTTAAGGGAGTACCAGTCCCCAGTCTGTCCCATGAGCATGTGTTGACCTGGGATGTTGGGTCGAAAGGGGGGACATTTTGGCTCCTGGGCTGGATAAGACCCTCACCTCTCAAACCCACCCCCCTAGATTCAGGCCCAATGAGGCTATTAAGGTACAGGGAGGGGCTATGACTATGGAGGGCCACATTGAGCTGGAGGCAGGGCTGGGGCCTGACCCTGGTTCTTCTACTCTTAATGCAGCCCTCCTCCCCCTCTGCCCTCCCCATCCTCTTCTCCTTGCCATCATGAGGATACTGGGCTAAATTGACTGTACTCAGAGTTGGAATTATGGGACAGACTGTGTGTCCTAATGCAGCTCATCTACCCCCAGGTTCGTGAGGTGCATTGGGGCAGCCTTGGCCTTGCTGCCCCTCCCTCTTCATCCCTATTTGTCCCATATTTGACCAGCCTGTCTCTTCTTCACAGATAGGACTCCTGCTTGGGTCCCTCTGGGAATCTGGGAGGCTCCCTGGGGTGACTTCCCCCTCCCTGCTCTGTGACCTTGTGATGGTCCCTGGTATATCTCTCCCTGGGTGGCCACAGGTGGATCAGCTCAAGCTCAAGGTGAGTCGGCTGGAGGAGGAGTGCACACTACTGCGAAGGGCCAGGGGGCCACTTCCTGGGGCTGAGGAAAAGGAGAAGGAGGCAGACGGTGTAGACCTTGTTTCAGAGCTGCGCGCTGAGAACCAGAGGCTGACTGCGTCGCTGCAGGAGCTGCAGGAGGGGCTGCAGCAGGTACAAGGGCCGGGCTGGTGGGTCTGGGGGATTCACATGGGCATCCAGACCTTCCTGCTGCTCACTTGTCCTCCTAGAGCCTGGAAAGCCCAGGATTTCAGAACCAGGGGTCTGGGGGAGGTGCCTGTGGCTTAAAAGGGTAGGGCGCCGGCCCCATATGCTGGAGGTGGCGGGTTCAAAACCAGCCCTGGCCAAAAAAAAAAAAAGAAAAAAAAATTGGGACCAGGGGTCTGAGGTCTGGCTGGAATCCCAGCTGGCCTCTTGTCTGAAGCTCTGAGCCAAGGGCCCTTAGTGTGTGTCTGGCATCTGTGAGTGGCCTCCAGGAGTTCTCTGAACTCCTTAAAATTTGTTGCCTGATTTTGTGTGGGGGGCATTTTTCTGGGGAGAGGGCCCCCAGCTTTCTTCAGATTTTTGGAGGAGTCTGCAGCCTTGAAAAGGTTGAACTCCTTGTGTTCTTGGTGGCTCCCAGGCAGGTCAGTGGCAGTGTGGGCCTGCCTCCTGGCTATTGTTCCACACAGGAAGTGGGGGATGGGAGCCAGCCCTTTCATGGGGTTGGGGTGCTTGGCTGGGGTGTTGGTCTGGGGCTAGATCTTGGGCCCAGGCCTCTTATCAGAGGAGTAGGTATAGGCTTGGAAATAGCTATACCCTTCTGTTGCCCTGAGTGGTGAGTGGTGGCCAGAGCAAGAGCCTGTGGGCCTGGTGCTTGTTTAGGAATAAGGTCCTAGCTGAACTTGCAGGAGCTTGGCCTCATCCTCCTTCCCTCAGCTCACTTAGCTCACTTGTGCTGCAGATGCTCCCTGGAGGGTGGGCAGGGCTAGTGGGGACCACACCCCTTCTAGGTGATCCTGAGAGGCAGGGCTGGTCTGATGGGTTCCCTTCCTCTCCCCACGTGGGTGGACCCTGGGCCAGATGCTGAGGGGACCCTGACCTCTGCTCCCTAGGAGGTGAGCCGGCCGGGGGCCCCGGGCTCAGAACGCATCCTCCTGGACATTCTGGAGCATGACTGGCGGGAGGCGCAGGACAGCAGGCAGGAGCTGTGCCAGAAGCTGCATGCCGTGCAGGGGGAGCTGCAGTGGGCCGAGGAGCTGCGTGACAAGGTGGGCCCCATCCTGTCTCCCGTGCCAGCCCTGCTCCTGGGACAGGAGAGTGTCAGGCATCTCTAGCTTGCAGCTGTCCCCAGTGTCTGCTGTGTGCAGGGCCTGTGCTGAGGACTTGTGTTCATTTCTTCTCATATATTGGTGGAGACGCCTTCTAGGTGCTTGAGCTGCAGTAATGAACAAACCAAATAAGTGTCTGCTCCGTGGAGATGAATTCCAGGAGGGGAGACACACAGTGTACCAGACACGTGGTCCTGAGTCAGGACCAAGGGTGCTGTGAGGGACACAGAGCCAGTGAAGGGGAAGGGTGCAATTTCAGGGGGGCAGCCAAAAGTGGCCATGTGTGTGGCATTAACTTTTCTCCCACTCACAGATTAGGGAGCTGAGGCCCAGAGGGGTGAAGTCAGTGACCCAGGCTACCCCACTGCAGAGGGGGGCTGTTGTTATTGGGGTGCTGCTGGGCACCTGCTGGTGGCTCCCTCCTGGTTCCTAAACCCTGAAGTCTGACTCTATCCTTTCCTGCCCTCAGTACCTGCAGGAGATGGAAGACCTGAGGCTGAAGCACCGAACACTGCAGAAGGACTGTGACCTGTACAAGCACCGCATGGCCACTGTCCTGGCCCAGCTGGAGGAGATTGAGAAGGAGCGGGACCAGGTGAGCCTCTGCTGTGTGTAGGATGCTGGTCCAGTTGCTGGTTCTTATATAGGGGAAGAAGAGAATGACTGGAGGGGACAAGAATTATAGGAGGAGACTTTATGGTGTATCAGTCAGTTTAGGATGGAACAAGTAGGCCAAGGGAAAACAGACAGGACCTCGAGAATTTAAGAGAAGTAGCCTCACACCCTAAACCCACCTGCCTCATCTGAGCTCCTGGCTTCTTTCCTTCCTTCCTCCCTGTCTCCCTCCCTCCCTTCTTTTTGACTGAGTCTTACTATGTCACCCTCAGTAGAGTGCCATGGCGTCACAGTTCACAGCAACCTCAAACTCTTGGGCTTAAGTGATTCTCTTGTCTCAGTTTCCCAAGTAGCTGGGACTACAGGTGTCCACCACAGCACCCGGCTATTTTTTGGTTGTAGTTGTCATTGTTGTTTGGCAGGCCCGGGTTGAGTTCAAACCCGCCAGCTCCAGTGTATATGGTGGGTGCGCTAGCCGCTGAGCTACAGGCACTGAGTCCATTCTTCATTTTTGATCTCTTATTTTTTCCATATTAAGGGCAAGGATAACACAAAAGAGGAGCTTGCAGATATTTGCTGATAAAGAAATTCCTGAAAATTTTAGCTCCCAGTCCCTGGGTACTATGGCCTTTGTGTCCTGCTGAGGCTGCGTTCTATCAGGCCCCTAGCCCTCCCTGTGGGGAGGCAGGAGGTTTTGTCCTTGACCTAGTTTGATTCCCTCTAGAGAAATTGAAGTCTTATAAATTAGGGTTGCCCTTAAAATCCCCTCGTGAACTTGAAAATGAAGATTTGGGGCTTCATCCTCCAACATTCTGATTCAGGTGTTCTAGGGCAGGGCCAAGGAAAACATTTTTTGGAAACAGAGTCTTGCTTTGTTGCCCTGGCTGAGTGCAGTGGTATTGCCATAGCTCAGGGCAGCATCAAACTCCTAGGCTCAAATGGTCCTCATACCTCGGCCTCCCAGAGTGCTGAGGTTATAGGCGTGAGCCACAGTCCCTGGCCAGGAATCTCTATTTCACCAGGCTGCCCCCCAGTCCCTTACTCTAGCCCCCTCCAAGGCAGTGGATGACAGGTCTGGGCCATGGGCACTGCTCTCAGGGACTCTGGTCTTCATGGTGGAGAGAAGCACTTTGGATGGGATGGGTTAGTTTTGCCTTCTAGCTCCTCCTCTGACTGGGATCTGTGAATAAAGCCCTTGCCATAGTAGCTCTCACAGAAGGGTTTTAAGTTCTTGGTGAGGTGGGAAGAGCCTGGGCTGCATCTGCATCTTTGAATCTCAGCTCTGTCCCTACTGGCTTGGTTTCCCCACCTGCAAAATGAGAATAAGGAGAGTATCTAACTTCACCAGTTAGTGTGATGATGAAATAAGTTGATAGATGTAGCATGGGGCTGGCACACAGGGTGTGCTCAATATAGGATGACTGTGGCTCCTGATAACTGCCTCATTCTGCAAGTCAGAGGCCAGGACAGCAGAGCCCAGGACAGCAGAGTCCCTGTGGCTCCTTCAGCTGCTGGCTTTCTCTACCCCCAGGCCATACAGAGCCGGGACCGGATCCAGCTGCAGTACTCACAGAGCCTCATTGAGAAGGACCAGTACCGCAAGCAGGTGCGGGGCCTGGAGGCCGAGCGAGACGAGCTACTGACCACACTCACCAGCCTGGAGGGTGCCAAGGCTCTGCTGGAGGTGCAGCTGCAGCGGGCCCAGGGCAGCACTTGCCTCAAGGTGAGCTGGGTCAGGATCGCAGGATCTTGGTGGGAGGGCTGGAGTCCTGGCGGGAGATCTTGGCCAGGGTTGGAAACATGCAGGACCTGGTGGGAGACCTCAACCAGGGGAGAGGACATGAGAGACCTGGCAAGAGCCCTTGGGAATGGGAGCACTTCAACCCAGGCTGGGGGTAGGAATGGGTTGGCAAGAGGCCAGGGGCATGCTAGTCTCTGAGTTTCTGGGGCTGCATTTGGGATACTAAGAATAGTTTGAAGCCTGTCTTTGTATATACTTGGAGAAGCCTGGCTGCCCTGGGGCCTGTGAGTGTGTTGAATGCAAAACCTGGGCCTCATACCTGTAGTTCAGTGGGTAGGGTGCTGGCCACATACACTGAAGCTGAACCCAGCCTGGGCCGGCTAAAACAACAATGACAATTGCAACAACAAAAAAAATAGCTGGCTGTTGTGGTGAGCGCCTGTAGTCCCAGCTACTTGGGAGGCTGAAGCAAGAGAAACGCTTAAGTCCAAGAGTTTGAAGTTGTTGTGGGCTGTGATGCTATAGCACTCTACCCAAGGCGACAGCTTGAGACTGTCTCAAATAACAAAAACAGGCTCGGCGCCTGTGGCTCAAGTGGCTAAGGTGCCAGCCACATACACCTAAGGTGGTGGGTTCGAATCCAGCCTGGGCCTGCCAAAAACAACAATGATGGCTGCAACCAAAAAATAGCTGGGTGCTGTGGCGGGCACCTGTGGTCCCAGCTACTTGGGAGGCTGAGGCAGGAGACTTGCTTGAGCCCAGGACTTGGAGGTTGCTGTGAGCTGTGCGATGCCATGGCACTCTACCCAGGGGGATAGTTTGAGGCTCTGTCTCAAAAAAACAAAAACGAAAAACCCCCTGGGCCTCAGAGACCAGCTGGTGTAGTCTAATATGGGCCTAAAAATCTGTCAGAGACCATCTGGTCTGGTCCCCTTTATTGCATAGGGCCCAGAGAGGGCCAGGGATTTGCCCAAGGCCACACAGTCAGCCAACACAGGAGCTGGGCCTCTGGGCCCTTTGTAAATCAGACGCTGGTTCTCAGGCTGCAACCAGAATGCTGCCTTTACCCATCCTGGGTTGGTTGAAGACAGCTCAGGAGAGCTGGTGTTTGGTGCAGTGGGATGTGGAGGAATAGAAAGAAACATGAATCTGTGACTGCTCACTTGTTAAAACCCTCCATGGCTTTTTGCTCTTTAGACAGAATCCCCTCTCATGGCCAAGAGGCCCGGCAGATTGGACCCCTCCTTTTCTCTAGCTGATTCTGTAGGTTTTAGCATTTTGATTCCTGGAATGTGTCATAGTCCTGCCTCAGGGTCTTTGCATATACTGTTCCAGCTGCCTGGACCATCCTGCTTAACTGTATCTACTTAGTACTCATGTATCCTTCAATTCTTAGTTCAAATCACACTTTCTGGAAATCACTTTGGTGCTCCCAGGCTGGGTAGGGCACCAAGGGCTTCCCCTGCCCTGGGTACCCTTCTTCTGTCGTCACCTTAGCTTGGGGTTGTTTAGTTCCTCCCTGGTTTATTTGTCACCCCTTCTAGGCTGTGAGCTCCACGAGGGCAGGGATCTGGCCTCTTGTGCTCCAGCTCTGTCACTGTGCCTCGCATGTGGCAAGTGATCATTAAAGGACTGTGGCTGGCCTGGGCCCAGAGCTGTTTGCCTCCTCCCCTCCTCTTCCAGGCCTGCGCCTCCTCTCATTCCCTGTGCTCCAACCTCAGCAGCACCTGGAGCCTGAGCGAGTTCCCCTCTCCGGTGGGAGGCCCAGAAGCAGCTGGGGAGGCTGCTGTCCTGGGGGGATCTGAGCCCCATACCTCGGTAAGACACTGCCCCACCCCAGTATTGGGGGATGCTGATAACATTTCTATAATTATCAATGAATAGACGACTTTCCTCTTTGTCAAAGGTTCCATTTTACAGTAAGGACACTTAGGCCCAGGGAGGCCAAGTACCTTGTTTTAGGTCCCCCAATCCAGGGTGGTGCTGGGTTTGAGTGCCAGGAGACCTAAGGGGCCACTTACACACTTGAATCCTTAGAAGCCCACTCTGCTCTGGGCCCTTCCTTTTATCTGTGGAATGGGCACAAACCAGGTATGTTGAGGACTGTGGTACTGCTGGGCAGAGGGCTGACCTGGCCCTATGGTGGCATTGCAGGAGGAGGCCACAGACAGTGAGAAGGAGATCAACAGGCTCTCCATCCTGCCCTTCCCCCCGAGCGCTGGTTCCATCCTCCGCCGACAGCGGGAGGAGGACCCTGCTCCCCCTAAGAGGTAAGAAGCAGTAGTCAAGGCCAGAGGGTGGGGGGGTCTGCTGCTTCTTGGACAGCCACTTTCTAGAACCCCCGCTGCTGCCAAAGTCAGGGCCCAGTCACTTCCCTTTACTGCCCTCAAATGGCTGGAGCTCTGGACACCTAGGCTCCAAGAGTCATAGGAGTGACTGAGGACATGGGGTTTAGATGAGGCCAGAGGGCAGAGTTCACTCATCCCTAGCCAGGCACCCTGGCAGAAGAGTCACTGGAGGTCAGGCCTTGAAGATCTTAAGCCTAAGAGGAAGCTGGATGGTCAGGACTAGAGGGCATGGAGAGTATCCCAGTAGGTCAGGGGCCTCAGGCAAGAAAGCTGACCCATCAGCTGCAAACGGGTTAGAAAACTAAGCTGTACCTGCCACTTGCAGGACCAGGGGCAGCAGACACCACCTCCTGGGGTGTAGTCCCATCATGGCTCTCCCCAGGTAGCTCTTGATTTATTCCTTTACCTGTGAGGGTCTAGGCACTGGGGGGCTGTGACCAACAAGGCTTGATCTTAGTGAATCGGCTCTGATGGGGCATCTGGTGAGGGTGTTTTGTGGTCTGATTTGGGAGGTATAGCCTGGAACAACAAATAACAAAGATAGCAAATGAGGTTAAGATGAGGGGCAAGAGATCAGGGGAGGCTTCCAGGAGGAGGCAACATGGAAGGAGCTGAAAGGCAGGCCAGGGCTTTCTAGGTGGGATTGTGGATAGCAGAGTTTAGGGGAGCCAGGTGTCACGGGCACCCTGTGCCTGGGACCCGGCCTTCAGTCTAGTCTGCATTTGTTTGGGGGCTATGGGACCTTTTGGGGACCTGGGGCAGGAGGAGGGAGCAGGGCAGAGTGCCCACTGCACCTCTTCTCCTGTCCCCTCCCTGCCCTCTCTCTGCCAGATCCTTCAGCAGCATGTCGGACATCACAGGTAATAGTCCTTGGGACTTCAACTGGTAGGGCCTCTCTGGGGGAGTGGCTGTGCTGCCTGCCCTGTCTGTGTCCCCTGGGTCACAGGGCAGCTGTGCTGCCTGCCCTGGGTCTGTGTCCCCTTTCCTGTGCCACTGGCTGGGAGGAATGCCCTGCTTGGGACGCCCTGGGGGGTTTTTGTTCAGGCCTCTTACCTCTGACCTGTCCCAGTTTTGGCCCACCCTCTACTCTCTTCTAGGAAGCTGAAGGGTCACCTGGTGGGCCTTGACCCAGTTCTGAGCCTGCTGTTGTGCTCAGGGTCTGGTATGCTCTGGGGGCCTTCACACCTGACCAGACATCTCAGGCCCTGGGCCATCCCTGGGCCTGGGAGGTGCTCGGGCCCTCCTGTGGACCTGTCATGTTTCCTAGACCCCCGAGCCCTAAATCTTACTCTTTCTTCCCAGGGAGTGTGACACTTAAGCCCTGGTCCCCTGGCCTCTCCTCAGCCTCGTCCTCTGATAGTGTGTGGCCTTTGGGAAAGCCAGAAGGCCTCCTGGCCCGGGGCTGCGGCCTGGACTTCGTCAACAGGTACTATAGATGCCAGGGCTGGTGGAGCTGGGGGGCAGGGTCTCTATTACTTGAGGAGATGAACAGGGGCCGTAGGGAGTAGGGAAGCCTTATGCAACTGTTGGAATATTAAGGTCTTTAGATACTGGCAGTCCTTGGATTCAAATCCTGTCAACACCATTTATTGTCCTGTGACTTGGGCTGGTCACTTCATTTCTCTGGGCCTCAGTTTATTCAATGGCTCAAGGAAAATGGTGATTTCTTCTGCATGAATGTTTTGAAGTTTATGTTCATGTGCTTAGAGCTCTCAGCTCTGCCAGACATGTAGCAGGTGCCTGGTAAATAATAGTTGTTACCTAAAGACTGCCCTGTCCCAGCATCCTGATTGTCAATGCCCCTGGCTTTCAGTGCCCCGCAGGACAGAAGTGTCCAGCAATGCTTCATGCTGTGGGTTGGGTAGGGGCCATCATGGAACCCTGTGGCTGGGCCAGCCATAAGTCTACAACTGGAGTCACAAAACTCACTAGTGTGGAGTGAGCGGCAGGTGTGTGCTATTAGCGCTGGCGATGAGTGGCCCTGTTCACACTCTCCAGTGGATCTAAGGGGGAGAGTAGAGGGGGCCATGTTGAGGTCGTGGCCTTGGAACTTAGCCATGGAAAGAGCTGGTTGGGGAGCAGTGTGGATGAGGGAGCAAGGGGGAGAAGCCTGGCAGGGCTGGGGAAAGTTGAGGTTGGGCCGATCCACAGTGGATTTTGTGAGTCAGGCTGGGGACATGTGGGCTTTGGCTTGTGCACTTTGGGAAACCTGGGAGGGTTTTAGCTCTTATTTAGTGCAAGGCCAGTTGCTGGCTGCTTTATGGCATTCTTTCTGTCCTGGACATAGGCATTATTACAATTTATCCTTGTGTTATAGAGGAGGTAACTGAAGCTCAGAGAGGTTAAGCAACTTGCCTGAGATCACACAGTTGGCAAGTACCAGCGCCAGGTCCACAGTGACCTAATCAGACTTGGGTTTTGGAAAGGACATAGGAGACATTGATAGTCACAGTTGGCATGTGGAGGTGCTGGGTGCAGAGGGACAGGTCACACAACAAATCAGGCAGAGCAGGCCTGAGGCCGTCTGCCTCCTGCAGGCAGCTTGGCCAGGCCCCTGCCCCCACCCTCTCCTGGCAGTGGCCCAGAGTGACATTGTTCTGCCTGTGCAGGACGTGCTTCTGGGGAAGGGGTGGAGGCGCCTCCCTTCCTGGTTGCCTCAGCCCTTCCTCCCTTCCTCCAGTGGGGGTCCTGGCTACTGGCCAGCAGGCGCCAGGATACAGCCGAGGGAGCAGGGGACTCTACCCATTTACCCCCACCCCACCCGCCCTGTGGTCATGTGGGGCCACCTCTTCTGCCCATCTTAGTCCAGGGGAGGAGGGGGTTGGGAGAAGAACACACATTGGGACAGGGGCAGGGGTGGTGGACTGAGAGAGAGAGAGAGAGAGAGAGGTGGGCAGGCAGAGAGGGAGGAGGAGGCCCACTCAGGCCCAGGTGGGGGCAACTCTCATGTCTCTTGGGGCTGTGTTAAGGTGAGACGGGAAGAGCCAGTTTGGGAGCCAGCTGCCTGGACTCAAGTCCCAGCTTTGTCATTTGCTGCTGAGGGGCCTTGAGCATGACATGCCCCACAGTGCCTCAGTTTCCTTCTCTGTAAAATGGGGTCAGTAGTGCCTGTCACCAAGAATAATTTTGAAAGTTCCATTGATCCTAAGGAAGTGCTTAGAATGTTCTGGGTGTACAGTAAACACATGCCAGCTCTTAGCTATTGTTACTGTAGCTGCTGTTGTTCCCCACTGGCACCAGAGGAGGGGACTAAGGCTCTGAGAGAGTCAGAGATGTATTCCAAGTCACTGCCCTGTGGTTCATGTGTGGGGATTCCAATGTGCTTCCTCCCTGCCTGAGCTCCTGTCAGTCCCAGACTCGGGTTGGGTTCTGACAGTGTGTTGGGTACTTTTTCTCCTCTTTCCCATTTCCTGTACATCTCTTCCTTTGGCCTCTCTGCCCTGCCCTTTCCGAAGTCTTGGTGACACTGGGACATTGAGTGCTGGGACTGCTGGAGGATGGGCAGGCAGACGGCCAGGTCAGGGGACAGGAGGCAAGAAAGAGCCCAAGTGAAGTGAAGTGCTGGGTGAGGGGCAGGGTGCAGGGTGCTGTCTCCCTGCCGAGCCCTGCCTCTGTTCACGTGGTCCCAGAGGGTCACTGGCACCTTCTATCCTTGAACAGAGAGGGTTCTGATAGGTCATTGCCTGACTCCACCACCCACCAACTGTGCCTCAGTTTCCCTCATCCCTAACAGATGCCTCTGTAGGATTGAGGAGGATTAAAATGAGGTTATCAGTATGACATGCTTAAGTCTCAGCATTAGGTCCCTGACCTGGTACAAAGCAGGCATAAAGACTGTCTAGGAATATTCCCATAGCATCCTAGAGTGGGGGACACTCACTGAGGCCACTTGGCCCATCACTGCGCAGAGTTGGCAGATGTGGTGCATTCCCCGTCTGCCTGTGACCTGAGGAGGGAGCTGGGAGCCTTCACCTGGTGGCTGAGGCCCCCACAGGCAGGGTAGGGGGCAGTCAGGTGGCTAACCAATCCTGGGAGGGTAGATCAGGCAGCACCTTCCCCACCTCACTTTCTTTCTCTCCCCTTCCTGCTTGTCTGCTGAGGGTGGGGGCTAAGAGGGGGCCTTGCTCCTGGCAAGCCCCCAAGTGGACTCTGTCGACCCTGAGAAGTGCTGACAGCAGGTCTTGGAGGCTCTGAGAAGTCATTGGTCGTTTGAGGAGGTTATCAAAGGAGTCCTGGAAGAGGGGATGCCTCAGCTGGGTCTTTAGGGAGCAGCAAGAGTCGGCAAGGAGCCCCAAACCCTGGGGTGGCCAAGGTCAGCCTTGATGCTCTAGTTGCAGGGGGAAGTGAGCAGGGGTGGGTGGAGTGGGCCCGGGTCCCGGCTGCTCCCTGGGCTCTTGTCTGGGGAGGGCATGATGGTCAGTTGTCTGTGGGTTTGAAGTAGGTGGGGAAACTGAGGTCAGAGAGAGGTGACTTGTTCTGAAGCATACCTGATAGCAGTAGACATCTGTGTTCTACTGAGCATCAGTACTTCCTGGGCACTGTTCTAAGAGCTTCTCATGTCTAACTCACCAAGTTGCATGGTGAGGACGGGGCCCGCGGAGCATTATAGGCTCAGCAGGGCGGCTGGCTGGCCCCAGCTTCCTGCAGGTGCAGCCTGTGCCATTTTCCTCAGACTTCTGACCCCAGCCCGTGATGAGAGGATCCCAGTACTCATGCCTAAAACAGAAAGGTCTCAAGACTTGTGGAGGCAGGCTTGTATTTTTGGTTCTATTCCATTAAAAAACTATGCTGGTCGTGACCAAGTGAATGTCACACCTCACTAAGGGACAGTCCTGCAGTTTATTTTTAAATTTGTTTGTTTGTTTATTTGTTTTGAGACAGAGTCTCACTCTATTGCCCAGGCTAGAGTGCCATGGCATCAGCCTACCTCACAGCAACCTCAAACTCCTGGGTTCAAGTGATCCTCCTGCCTCAGCCTCCTGAGTAGCTGGGACTATAGGTGTCCACTACAGTGCCTCACTAATTTTTCTATTTGTAGTAGAGGTGGGGTCTTGCACTTGCTCAGGCTGGTCTTGAACTCTTGAACTAAAGTGATCCTCCTGTCTCGGCCTCCCGGAGTGCTAGAATTAAAGGTGTGAGCCACCACTCCCACCCCCAGTCCTGCAGTTTGAGGGCCCAGAGCCCTCTGGTTTCCACCTTTTCCTGTGTTATTTTTACATTGAATTGACCTTCCTCACACCCCCAGTGGGAAGGGGTGCTGCTAATGACTCCTCGTTTTGTGGATGTGGTTACCAAGACCACAGATTTGCCTGTTTGCCTGGCCTAGGGACAGTTCACCTGGTGTTGGGAGCCAGACTGTGTGCTCCAGCCACACAGCCACTGGCTGGATAGCCTGACCAGGTCTCAGCCTCCCACCTCTGCCCCGACCTTCCCATGCCACTTCCATACCACCGGGGCAGTGGGGTGCTGAATGATGCCTCCTACACCTGAGTCTGCCCCAGCCCCTCAGGCCTGGTGCTCTGTTTTGCCAGAGTGGGCAGAAGCTCAGATGGTTCCTGGGGAGCTCAAGCTTCTATCTCCCCAGGAGTACTGATTGGATTAGGGTCTTTGCAGCCTTGCCCACCCCAGGCTGGCAGCAGGGGGCAGTGTGGCTTTATCTGGGCTGCAACTGTCACCGTGAGTGGGAGACTTTGCTGAGCTGCGGCACACCTACCCACTCAAGCCTTGCCCCCTCCCCATGGCTGAGGATATTGGCGGGGTCTTGGGGTCAGTTTGTCTCTGAACCTGGCCACAGGGCCTCACCAGCTCTCATTCAGGGACAGGCAGAACCCTGCCATGATGGGGATTTGGTGGCTCTTTGTCTTAACTCTCAGCAGTGACTCTAGCTCACCTTATCTAGGAGCTGTTTCTCAGGATGTGAAGTTAGCAATTAGGAAGGAGCTTGACAAGGTGTCTGGCACGTGGGAAACAGCCAGTGTTTGCTGCTACTGTTGTTATTGTTATTATTAAATTCTTCCACACATCCTATATTCTGTCCTTCATACCTTTGCTCACGCCATCCCTTCAGCCTGGAACACCGTTTCCTCCGTCCGTCACCGCAGTGCTTCTGTTCTTCACCGAGGTGTAGCCAGGTCCTTCTTCCCTGGGAAACCTCTCCCCTCTGTGCTCCCGCTGCCGCCGGCTGTAACCATCCTCGGATCTGTGCTGTGCGCTAGTGGCGACCTCCCTCCCCAGACTGTGAGCATAACGAGCATTTACTAGTCACCTGCTATGTGCGAGACACTGGGTTTGGTGCCAGGGATGCAGAGCTGAGCACTGTAGAAGTCTGGCCCTGAGGTGTTTGTTCTGATGCAGGAAACAAAAGGGAAAATGCGGAACTGCGGCAAGGTGCGGGTGGTGTGCTCCTGCGGCACGCTGCACCTCTCCATGGGCCCAGGGGTGGGGGAGAGGCTGCTTTTAACTAGAACTTGGAGGACGTGTTTGCCAGGCAGGGAAGGGAGGGAAAGGCATTACAGAGGGCAGATGCCGTGGCCTGGGATCATGGCATACTTGGGGAATGCCGTGGTTGTGATTCTCCAAGAATGTTGAACTGAATCAAAATACTTACTGGATTCTAATTCTCATCCCCTTTCTCCTTTCTCAGGTCTTTGGCCATCCGTGTGTCTGGCCGGAGCCATCCAGGGGGTCCAGAGCCCCAGGACAAGGGCCCTGATAGCCTATCGCCCCTTGGGGACAGATGGTCTGGGGCAGTGCGGAGGGTTCTGTCTGGGCCTGGGTCTGCCAGGACTGAACCAAGAGAGGTGAGGCCCTGTGCCCCTCCCTTCCCCGAGCTGGGGGTGGAGTCAGTGCTTTAACCAGGGTGAGACACTCTCTAGTTGGTGGAACAAGGTCACAGGGCGAAGCTTCTAGGGATTGGCCAGAGTAGAAGCCTACTGTTTGCCCCACCTCAGCCAGTGTTAAGTGAAGCCTGATTGGGTGTGGGCTGAGCGGTGGGAACACACTGACAGCACCTTGACAGATCCCTGCCCTTAAAACTCGGGAAAGAGCAGAAGAGCTAGGCTGGGTGGGGAGTCCTGTGGATGGGAGCAGGGTCAGACTAGGCTGGGCGTGGCAGTCTGCAGTGAGCTGGGACTCTGAATTATGAGGCTCAGTCACCCCCACTCTTGGTCTTCCTCCAGCCTCAGGGTGGTTCTGCCCTGGGGAGCTTACTTCTTTTCCTCCCTACCTGGGTTTTCTCCCAGTCAAGGGCAGAAACTGCAGGGCTGGAGGGCCTGGAAGCCCAGGCCCAGCAGAGAACCTTGTCCTGGAACCAGGGGTCCACATTCCCCTTCCTGATGGACTCAAAGGGTAAGTCTGGCTCTGGGGAGGGTTTGGGAACTCAGAAGTACTGAAGGTGGGAGCTGATAGCCTGAGAAAGGGCTCATAGATGCTTGTGGTGCAGGGGGGGAAGCCAAGGGCCGGGAAGGAGCTGGCCTTGCCCCACTTGCTCTTTCTCCTGTCTCTGGGCAGTGCAGCTGCCTCCTTCTGTCTGTCCCTGCGCCTTTCTCCATCCCCTCCTCTGTAAGCAGCTTACAGTGAAAGGAGCATTGCATCAGGAGTCCAAAGTCCTGGGTTTGAGTCCTGGTTCTGTCTCTAGTGGGCTAGGTGGCTTTGGACAAGTTCCTTCCCCCTCTAGGCTTAAGTCTCTCACTTTGGGAAGGGGAAGGTCGGGGTCCCTCCAGAGGGTCATGTCTGGGGACTCATCAGACATGAGGCGAGGCAAGCAGTAGGCTTGTACTCTGGCCAAAGGCTGATCTCTGACTGCACCTTCCTCCTCTTGACCTTTCCACTGCCCCCCACCCCATGCATGCTCAGCCTGCCAGTCCTTCCACGAGGCCTTAGAAGCCTGGACGAAGGGGCTGTGTACTGAGCCCTTCTACATTCGAGCCAACCTCACCCTGCCTGAGCGGGCAGATCCCCACGCCCTTTGTGTGAAATCCCAAGAGATCCTTCGGTTGGTGGACCCAGCGTACAAACGGCGGCAGGAATGGTTCTGCACCCGGGTTGACCCCCTCACACTGCGGGACCTGGACCGGGGCACTGTGCCCAATTACCAGAGGTGATGCAGGGCCAGGAGCCTGGGGATGGGGTCCTACTGGGAGCCAGAACCAGAATGGGGCTCACTCCCTCCTCCTGCAGGCCCTCAACGTCCTCTGGGACAGAGTGGGGGAATTTGAGGAGAAGACATAAGGGGCCCTCCTTGTGTAAGACACAACTTTCTCCCACAGAGCTCAGGAGTTCCTAGAAGTTCAGGAAAAATGCCTGTCCTCCAGCCGGCACCGAGGCCCCCGCAGTAATGTAAGCAGGGCTAGGCAGGCGAGGATGGGTGACACCAAGGGTGGGGTCCAAAAAGGCTTCTGCATTCTCTAGAAGCCCTGGGAGAAGGGCCATTGCCCACCTGTTCCTTCCCAAGAGTTAGATGATCATCTCCTAGATGACCAGCAGGCAGAAGAACAGGGGAGCTCAGCACCGGGGGTAGCTTACAGATGAAATGAGACAGAGTGGCCAGTCAGGAGCATCCAGAAAGACAACAGGCACATTTCCTTTTCCAATGCCTGGATGGCAGCTGGGCTGGTGGCAGCCCTACCATGCTCATGGGCACAGTGTGGCCCAGAGATGTCAGATAAATGAAGAGTGTGGGCTCTGGAATTGGATGGCCCGTTTGAAGCCCAGCTCTTCCACTTCTTAGCTATGTGACTTTGGACAATCACCTGAGCTTTCTTGGAGGCTCTGTTTCCTTATCTGTAAAGGGGGGAATGTACACTACCTGTCCCCTAGGCAGTATGTATGTGGCTTTGGTGAGCTGTGGCCCATCAGAGGTTTAGTGTCCTTCATGTTATAGGCATCTGACACCTGTTAGTTATTGGTATTATTAGCACTGTCTTTTTTTTTTTTTTTTTTTGGAGACAGAGTCTCAAGCTGGGTAGAGTGCTATAGTGTCACAGCTCACAGCAATCTCAAACTCTTGGGCTTAAGTGATTCTCTTGCCTTAGCCTCCCAAGTAGCTGGGACTATAGGTGCCTGCGACAACTCCCAGCTATTTTTTGTTGTTGTTGCAGTTGTCATTGTTGTTTTAGCTGGCCCAGGCGGAGTTTGAACCCACCAGCCTCGGTGTATGTGGCTGGCGCCCTACCCACTGAGCTGTGGGCACTGCCTGTTTTCATTAATCTTCCTATCCAAGGTTACCTTGTTAATTCACTGGAAGAGACCCTAAATTTGTATTTTATGTGACATTCGATTCCTCTTGGTCTTTGGGGCTCAGTCTCCCCCTTTATAAAGTGGGAGATAGACCTAAGGTTCTTCCAACTGGCTCGGATGGGCTTGCTTGCCTAGAGCCACAAAGATAGTTGCTCTTGCCTGCCTGGGGTGGCTGTGCTGGGCTGGGCAGGGGCAGGAGAGGGCCTGGTTTTGGGGGGGTCGTCTGGTACTAACCCAGGCTCCTCTGGCAAACTTGGGCAATACTGACAGTGGGTCCCCCTGTGCCTGGGGTCCTGTTTCCTCTCCTCTCTCCCTGGGTAGGGGTGGAGCTGAGCTCTCAGATGTCCTTCCTTCCTTACACTCTCCTAGCTAAAGAAGAGAGCCCTGGACCAGCTGCGGCTGGTGAAGACCAAGCCCATCGTGGGTGCTGCAGGGGACTCCCCTGAGCAGCCGCTGCTGGAGCCCTGCTCAGGTAAGTGTGCCGGTGTGAAAGTATATTCCATGCTGCTCCTGGTTCTCAGGACTGGGCATGTCTGGTGTCCCTTGGCCTTGAGGGCCTATTGTGAGGGTTCTAGTGGGGAGCAGGGCCCATGTGGGACCCTGAGAGACAAGGCTGTCCCTGTGGGAGGATGGACTGCCAAGGTTGAGGGAGGTCTTGCGGGATGGCATGTGTGTGACTGTGACTGTGACTGTGGGTCTGTATGAGGCTGGGGCACGGACAGAGCATGTGCAGCTAGGCTTCTCTCGTGTGTGGTGGCAAGTGCCATGAGGACCCAGGGGCCTTCTGGAGGCAGAGGGTGTGGCCTTAAGCTAGAGCCGGGAGGAGGGGCTAGGGGAGTCCAGGTGAGAGATGAGCAAGTCCAAGGTTTGAGGGGGAGGGGGATGGGGCCTTCAGGGATGAAGAGGAGTTCATTCTAGGCAGAAGGCACAGCTCCTGCGTGCCACAGAAGCGAGGCTGTGTGTGGTGTGTTTGGAGGGTGTTTGGTATAGTGAGTATTGGGCACCAGCTTTGTCAGGCACTGGAGACAGATGGTCCCTCCCCTCATTGGGTTCCCTGTCTAGCAGGGGGGGCAGATGATTAGGCAATTACACCTGGAACATTAAAGAGACAGTGTGAGGTGTGTAATGGACAAGAACTGGGTGTCATGGAGCATATACTGGGATGCTGCACATCTAGGGATAAAGGAAAGGTGAGAGTTGACAGGGCTGAAAGGTAGAGGGTGGGGCTTTGGGTGGCCCCAGGGCATGCAGGGTCCCTGTAGTTGGAGGCAGCTGGCAGGAAAGCTTAGGCACAGTGGAGTCTGTGGCTGCCACTCCCCAGGCTCCTGGGCAGGGCTATGTCACCACATGGAGGATATGGCCTTTTTTCCTGACAATCTGGGAAGTCACAGGTATGTTGAGAGCAGGGCAGTTACATGATCCAACTTTAGTTTTGTTTTTTTGTTTTTTTTTTTGAGACAGAGTCTCACTATGTCACCCTCGGTAGAGTGCTTTGGCATCACAGCTCACAGCAACCTCAAACTCTTGGGCTTAAGCAATTCTCTTGCCTCTGCCTCTCAAGTAGCTGGGACTACAGGCACCTGCCACAACACCCAGCTATTTTTTGTTGCAGTTGTCATTGTTGTTTAGCTGGCCCTGGCTGGGTTTGAACCCATTGCCCCATGTATGTGGCTGGCGCTGTAACCATTGTACTTCGGGCACGGAGCCCTGACTTTAGTTTTAAAGCCAGTCCAGCAGCTGAGTGAATGACCTGTAGGGGTCAGAGGTGAGGCAGGAGATGGGGAGGAGCCTTCTGCTGTGGTCCCTGTGTGTGGGGTGTGTATGTAAGAGGAACAGCAGCTAACTCAGGAAGGAAAAAGGGTTAGATGATAACATTAAGGGGTGTGGCCATTCTAGGAAAGAGGAGCTGGGACCTGCCTGTACCCTCATCTCTTCCACACCTCTCCCCTTCATAGACCCCGAGTGTAGCCTCAAGCCATACAGCCTGGTGAGGCCACTGCTGGTGTCCGCCCTGCGGCCCGTGGTGCTGCTGCCTGAGTGCCTGGCGCCCCGGCTCATCCGCAACCTCCTGGACCTGCCTAGCTCCCGGGTGGACTTCCAGGTGTGCCCAGCAGGTAAGCCCTGTGCCATAGGAGAGGAGGACTGGTGACACTTGGGGGCAGCTGTGCCCACTGGTTTACTTGGTCCCTGCCTCTTCCTTCTCTCCCTTTTGCAGAAAGCCTCTCTGGGGAGGAAGTGTGTACACCCTCAGCACCTGGAGCCCCCAAGGCCCAGCCTGTCACCCCTGGGTTGGGCGGCAGGATCCGGGCCATCCAGGAGTCTGTTGGGAAGGTTGGTGCCAGGGCTGGCCTGGAGGGGGTGTTGCCCTTCTGGGGCTGAGCACCAGTGTGAATGTGGGCTGTATTCTGCTGCTTGCTTGCAGGGTAACCCTGGGCAAGTCCTTTCTCTTCTGTGATCCTCAGTTTCCTCACCTGTGACCTGGGTGGGTTGGGGTCACTCTTGAGGTGTTTGGCCAATACGGGTCACCTACACATCCTTGTTCTCAAACTTGCCACTGTCCTAGGGGCTGACTGGGGCCTGGAGGGTGGTGGGTGGGTTGGGGTTAGCTCTGTCCTCCAGATGGGGAGGCTGAGGTCTGGAGGGGGAAAGTGACATTTCTCCAGGTCACTCAGTGAATCCAGTGTCTTCCCTTTGGGTTCCTTCCTTGCTGCCAGGGTCCCTCTGGGTGGGAAAGCAGGATGTGCGCCTGTGGGAAGCTGTGATGAGCATGGGGTGGGTGTCTGTGGTTCGGGAGTACAATGTCACCTCAATCTTCCGAGAAGAAGCACTGCCTGTTGGAGCTGGGCGCGCGGGGTGTGCGGGAGCTGGTGCAGAATGAGATCTACCCCATTGTCATCCACGTGGAGGTGACTGAGAAGAATGTCCGAGAAGTCAGGTGAGTGGGTGGGAGGGGCAGGGCATGCAGACCTGTGAGCTCCCTCTCTTCCCCTTTCTCCCTTTGTCCCCATCTCTCCCCTTCTCTCTCTCCTCACTCTGTCTCTCTCTGTCTCTGCTTCTCTCTTTGTTCCCCTTCCCCATTTCCTTCTTTCCTTTTCCCTCCCTCCCTCTCTCCTCCTCTCTCTGTCTCTCTCCATTTTCATCTCTCCCTCTGTTTGCCATCTTCTCTCTCTGACTCTTCCCATCTTTGTGCCTCTCCCTCTGTCTCTCTGTCCATCTTGATTGTCACTTTGACCTCTGCCCTCTCCTCTCTTGGCAGGGGTCTGCTGGGCCGGCTGGGCTGGCGGGACTCAGAGCTGCTACGGCAATGCCGAGGCTCAGAGCAGGCACTCTGGGGGCTGCCCTGCTCCTGGGTGCAGGTCCCCGCTCACGAATGGGGCCATGCAGAGGAGCTGGCCAAGGTGGTACGCTGCCGCATCCTGCAGGAGCAGACCCGCCTTGTGTGGGTAGACCGCAATGTGGAGCACAGTGGCAGCAGGGGCTGCGGTGGCAGCAGCGAGGCCTGAGGCCAATCTGATGCCTGCACTTCCTCCCTAACTTTATAAGCCAGTGTGGAGCTGGCCCGCCCACCCTGAGCCTTCCAGACCCTTGGACTTCTGGACAGATGTGGGACCCATCCCTAGCCCTGCTGAGCCTGCAGGAGCCAGCAGGGCAGGGCTCCCACCCCCCTGTACTTGCTGCTCTGGGACTTCCTGCCCGGCCCCATGTCTCCGTGTTCCCACTCGTGGGGCTCACCTATGTGTCTGTGTTCTCGCCTTAAACACTCGCCCTGTGCTCTCACACCTGTGCAAAGATTTACCCAACCAAGTTCTCAGGGGCAGGCTCAGGTCTGTCCTCCTGTCTGGGCGTAATGGGTCTCCTGAGGTCCTCAGCTTGTTCTGCTCCCAGGAGCACCAAGCCTGTTACCATGTGACGTCTACTGTCCAGCTCACATTTCATATGTGGAGGCCCCATGTGACCACTGTGGCTTCCCTGGTCCGTGATCACCTCGTTTCTCCTCTCACCTGTGTCAGTGGTTCTCTTCCTGTGTAAATAAATGTCATGTTCCACCCCTGTGACACATGGGCACTAACTCCCAGGACTGTGGCTCATGGGAGCTCCCTCTTAGGGGTGAGGGAGGAGCCGGCTGCTCTGTCACAAGAATGTATGGCTCGTGGATTCCTAATGGGCCCTTTCACTGAGAAGCTGCACACTATGGAACATTAAATGCCTTTTTGTCATAGATGTTGGTGGTCTTCTGCTTGCTCATATCCCTGGTCTGAAGTCCCCTCTATACTTCTCCCATCTGTCCCCACCCCCAGCTCAGGTCCCCACTCACCTGTTGGGAGGGTCAAATTTCCTGCCTGCCTTTTTCCAGAGCCGCTCACCATCTGTGCTGGCATCACCTTACCTGCCCCTGGTTGACCGAAGGTGAGACCCCCCCCCCCGGCCATGGGCCACCCAAGCATTCAGCCCTGCCTGCTGTTGATCATCAAAGAAGTGTCCCCTAGAGCAGGGCACCAGAGCCAGCAAGGTGTGGTCTTGCTGAAGGGACTCAGCTGCCAGTCTAGAGATGAAGAGCAAACCCTTGATGTGCCATTAGGTCCCTGCTGTACTCTACCAGGGAGAGGACAGTCACCCCAATGGGAGCAATCCAGGCAGCCTCACTGGAGGAGGTGCCACTTGAGTTTGAGGGTTGAGATTCCTCTCTTCAGAAGTATTCATAGAGGTCTCTCTCACCTTCTCTTCTTCATGAGAGGGACCCACTTCCAACTGTCTTTGGAGGTGCTCTAAACTTCTTTTTGAGAGAGAGAAAAAAAAGGAATCATTGTGCTTACGTGCAGGTGACTGTGCTTGGTCACAGTGATGAACTTGGGTGGGCCCCTAGCACTAGTAGGTGGAGGGAACCCGAAGAGCAAAAGCTCAGCGGTACGGAGATGGGTTGAGTTTGATTCCCTGAGGAGGGGTTGGAAATGAGGTTGGGAAGTACAGGGGTGGGGCAAGGGGGGGTGCAAAATGCCATGTTGAACTTGGGCTGTGTCCTTTAGGCTGAGGGAGCCTTCCAGAGGTGCAGGAACAGACCTGTGGGAGCTCTGATGTGGGGTTGCCTCAGAGCAGGCTGAGTCAGGCAGTGTTCAGGCCAGATAGGGGTGGGGGACAGGGCAGTGGAGCAGACAGGAGAGGAGGGGCTCTATGTTTGGAAGCTTAAGAAAAAGTCCCTGGCTCGGCGCCTATAGCTCAACCGGCTAAGGTGCCAGCCACGTACACCTAAGGTGGCAGGTTCGAATCCCCAGCCCGGACCCGCCAAACAACAATGACGGCTGCAACCAAAAAACAGCCGGGCGTTGTGGCAGGCGCCTGTGGTCCCAGCTACTTGGGAGGCGGAGGCAGGAGACTCGCTTGAGCCCAGGAGTTGGAGGTTGCTGTGAGCTGTAATGCCAGGGCACTCTACCCAGGGGGACAGCTTGAGGCTCTGTCTCAAAAAAAAAAAAAAGAAAAAGAAAAAGAAAAAGTCCCTGAGCTTAGGAAAGGGCCTGGGCTAGGCATTTGGGGCATGGGTGGAGAGGGTATGGGGATGCTGAAAGGGGATGAGGGGACAGAATGGGGTTATAGTCCCCTTTGTTGGGAAGAGGGGACAAGGGGGAGGAGGTGGGGAAGGGGCTTTGAGGCTGGGCCACATGGGATAAAGGTGTTCAGGAGGGGAGCTGCCAGGGTGTAGGTGGGCCCAGACTGTCGGAGCCAGGGGAGGCATCTTTCCCAGGATGGAGTGCAGGGTGCAGGGGCAGAGAGGTTTGGTTGAAAGCCAAAGCCTTGGACAGCTAAGTGACCTCCAGCAACTCGGAAGACCTGTGGCATGGTTGGTGGCACGTAGAAGTGCTGACTGTCCGAAGCCAGGCTGGCAAGTGCTCCTGGGGCAAAGCATTGCTCAGGAAATTTCAGCTTCTTCCCCCATCTCCAAGACTCACAGATTGGGGGGACAGGGGATACAGTGGTTGTTGCAGTTTGGCTAGGGCTGGGGCCAGATTCAAACCCGCCACCCTCAGTATTTAGGGCCGGCACCCAACTCACTGAGCCACAGGCACCACTTGATGCAGAGGGTCTTGTCTAGAGCTTGAGGCCTGCCACCACTGTGGGGTGCAGGCTGGAGAATAGGACCCTGAGTGACAAGGGTGCAGCCCTCTGCCCAGCAGTTAGGTACTATGTCCCTTATCACTCCAGGTTGTCTCAGGTGCAGACCCGCCCTGTCTGTCCAGCCACATCCTCCCCACCTTGGACAGTGGGCTCTGAATCTGCCCTTAGCTGTCCTGATGCCAAACCTTTGCTTACGCTGGGGATGCCCCAGGCCGCTCCTTCTGCCCCTATCTTACTGAACGTGACACCTTCTGCATGAAGTCTGCCTGGTCCTCCTAGCCCTTGGGACTTCTCCTGAGCCATTTCACTTCTTCCTTGTTGCAGATGGGAGTCTGTGTGGCTGTCTCTGTGGATGGCTGTATTCTTTTGCACAAGGTCACTCATATCCGGGCTCAAGGGCTGGGTCATGGGCATTTGGTTAAATGAACTTCCTGCCTGCCTGCCATGTGCCTGGCCCACTGCCGGGGTTGTGGACACAGGAGTCTGGGAGAAATGCTGGAGTCCAGTGGCTTGCCTGCCTTTGCCTACTCCCGGTGTTAGCTGTCCTTTCTGTGGGTGGAAGGAGAAGCCTCCTCTTCCTGTAAACATCACCAAGTCATATTTTTGTTCCCATTTTATAAATGATGAAAGTAACATCCTAGAGTCACACAGCCCATGAGTGGCCCAGTCGGGATTTGAACCTGATCTATTGGGCACAGAGCCTGGGACTGTCCCTTAGAGGTTGTATTCTTACAAGACAGGCTGTGAAGGCCCAGCCAGGCCCAAAGGAGGGTGAATCAGAAGGGTTGGTTTTCCCTTTCTGTCTCCCGCCCCCTGACTGTTCTTATGCAGGGTTGAGCCACAGCAGGGCCATC